AAGCAACGGCCGTGGTAATTCCTAGTAGCGATGGCGCGCGTCGCAGCGGAGGATCCGGCGGCACGCGCGCTTGCTCAGCGTCGTCTTGTCCTTGGCGAGGATGCCGTCGAAGTCGACGCGGGGCCGGTCGGCGACGTAGCCCTCGGCGAAAGCACTCAGCGCCGCGCAGAACGGCATGACGCGCGCGCCCAAAAGCCCGAGCGCCTCCGCGAGCTTTCGGTGCAGGAACGAGCCGAGCAACACGTGCTCGGCGAAGACGCGGACCTCGATGACCCGCGCGTCGCCGCAGAGGAAGTCCGCGACGGCGACGGCGGGGCACACGGGGAGCACGGCGCCGAGGACGCGCTGGCGCGTCGACCGCCGCGCGAGGACGGCGCGCGCCCGTGACCGCGTCTGCCGCGCGAGGAGCGCGAAGGGGCCGCTCGCCGTCGCGCACCACTCGACGAGGAGGCGGCTCCGGAACTGCCAATTCGGGAAGCAGGCGCGCACGGCTTTGTCGAAGGCGCGGTCCTTCTCGGCCAAAAACGCGTCCCAGTCCGCGACGCCCGCGGCGACGTCCGCGAGCAACGAAAGCGTCCAGTTGAGCGCGAAGGTCTTGAAGCCGTCAAAGACTTGGGCTCCTTCCTCGGAATGCGTGAATTTGACGAAGCGCGACTGCACGCGTTCCGGGGTCCGGTCGTAGAGCACGATGCGTCTGCGCCGTGTTAATGTTCTACCGTAGATGTTTGGGCCGCGGACGCCGCCCGTGGGCGTCGGCGCGGGGTCCACGGCCGGTGGCGGCGGCCCGAACCAGTCCGTCTGCGAGAGTTCGGCGTCCATGCGTCTTCGTGCCCCGAGTACACCGGAGCTCCACCGTCGCCGAGCGGTCCACAGGGCGAGAGAAGCTCTCACAGTTTCCAGCCGTGCGAGGAGATTGCGAGGCCTCGTGCGTGAGTGGCTCCGCTCGCTCTTCAAGTCGGTTTTCGCCACAGGAGCCATGCAACGTCATGCACAGGGGACAGATGGACTCCCCTCATCAAGGATGGGTCAACGATTAGGGCGGGCGGTTCCGGGTGCGTGTCGATGTCGATGTCGATGGTCGCGTGTCGGTCGATGTCGTTTCGGGTTCGGTCGTGGCGGTCGCGGTCGCGTCGCGATGTCGATGATCGGTGTGGCAATGTCGATGATCAGAGGCGGCTCTCCCAGTAGTTGGCGCCGTAGCTGGCGAGGATCTCTTCGCCCTCGGCGATGCGCCGCGTGGCGACGACGCCGCAGTGGAGCTCCTCGAGGGCCTCGAAGTCGGCGTTCGCGGCGCTCGCCGAGTCCGCGCGGTAGCGGTCCAGCGCGGCGGCGCCCTCGGCGACGAGGGCCGCGCCGTCGTTGATGAAGTGGCCCGCGTAGGCCGCGTCTCCGTCGAGGTCCGGGATGCCGATGATCGAGTAGAGATAGCCCGTCTCGCTCTTCTCGTACGGCGCCAATTCGTACTCGACCCAGACGTCGGCGAGCTTGGCGGCGTCGCGCAGGCTTTCCGGCACGTGCTCGGCCCACATGACGCCCCGCTTCGTGCGCGCCGGATCGAAGGTGATCAAGGCGTCGGCCGGGTAGATCGTGAGGAGCTCGCCCGCCTCGACGTCGCGGAGCGCGAAGAGGCCCCGGCCGGCGCAGACGGTGCTGGCGCCGATGCCGCAGGCGTCGAGCGCGAGCTTGTAGCGCGACGCGAGGATGGACCGCTGCACGAGGTCGCGCACGGAGACGCCGCGCGCCGCCGCGGCGGAGTGGACGGTCTTGCCGTCGTCGCGCTCCATGGACGTCCGCAGCGCGGAGAGCTCGACGCGCAGCGCAGCGCTCGTCAGGGAGGATGCGGACTTGACGAGCAAGAGCAGCGTGCACAACAACATGCTCGTGCAGTGCGCGCAGCCGTCCTGGCAGCCAATGGGCGCAGTGTATTTGCAGTACCGGTTTCGCAGGATGCAGCCGTGCTGCGGCAGCGCTCGCAGCCGTGCTCGCAGCGGTCCCTGGCAGCGTTGCGGCTCGCAGCAGTGCTCGCAGCGGTCGCACACAGCAGCTCGAAACGCGTCGTCAGGAGAGTCAAGTCGGCGAGCTTGCACTTCAACGTAGCCAGTTTTACGCGAAACCTAGACGCGGTCGTGGCTGCCGTCGTCGGTGTGGCCCGTGATGTCGAGCAGCGTGCCGCCGGCGCAGCCCGGCCACGTCGTGAGCTTGTCGTAGACGTAGGGGAGGATGTTCGAGGACGGCTCGATCGCGTCCCAGAAGTCCGCGTTCGTGAAGTAGGCGTCGCCCTTGGCGCCGAGGACGCGCTCGAAGGGCAGGAGGTCGTCGGCCTTGTGGCCCGGGCAGGTGACGCCCTTGGTGCAGGTCGGCATGCCGACCTCCGCGTCGACGCCCGCCCAGTCGCAGACCGTGTGCGTGTCGCTCAGGATGTTCTGCGAGTGGTCGTAGGACCACGAGTCGTCGAGCGTGAGGAGCCCCTTGGCGCTCATGAGGCGGACGAGCTGGATGAAGCGCTCCGCCGCGCCGTGGAGCACCCAGAAGAGGGGGTCGTAGGGCGCGGCCGACGTGAACATCTCGCCCGCGTGGCCCACGTGGCAGAGCATGTCGAGGATCTCGTCGTAGTCCAAACCGACGCCCTCGATGAGCTGCTGGTCGTAGAGCGAGTAGATCGTCGTGAAGCCCACGTCGTTGAGGATGTCCAGCGAATTCCGCTCGCCGATCACCGACGAGGGGCAGGAGCAGGTGCACTCGGACTCGGGCGTGTCCGTCGAGCACGTCGCCGGGCAGCGGACGTAGCCCTGGCGCCACATGAACTTGGACCCGAGCAGCATCTGGTCCGGCGAGTACTCCTTGTCCGCCGCCGCCGCCGCGTGCATCTTCGCGTCGATGGCGTCGGAGATGTGCCAGTGGCCGCCCGTCATGATGTGCACGGGCCCGTGGAGCTCGCCGTTGAAAGCGTTCATGACCTCGCCCAGGCTGATGGCGCCGTCGCTCTCCGTCGGCGTCAGGTAGTCCTGGAAGGCGCCGCACTTGGGCAGCGTGTAGAAGGCGTCCTTGACGCCGAGCACGTAGCGGCTCCGCGCGACGTACGGCGTCGGGTTCGTGTTCCAGGGGCTCCGGAGCAGGCCGTAGGGGTTCGTCACGTTGCTGAAGGACGTCGCCGCGTTCATCACGTGCGTGAAGGCCCAGCGGCCGTGGGCGATGGCGTGGTCGCTGCGGTTCGGGTTCGCGCTCCCGAACCACTCGTCGCGGAAAATCCGCGATTCGACGTAGTCGAAGTGGTCGCCGCTCTCCGCGGCGTCGATGGTGTAGTCCCAGTAGTGGGAGCAGACCTCCGGGTTCACGGATCGCAGGGAGCTCTCGAACTGGAGCGTGATGCCCACGTGGTGGTTCAGAAAGCCCGCGTCGTCGTGCCAGTGGTCGCACTCGCGGTCCGCGGCGCCGTAGAGGTGCTCCCGGACGAGCCACGCGGCGGACTTGAAGTTCTCGCCGTACAATTTCACGCCGAGCTCCTGCTCCGTCGTGTAGACGACCTCCATGGCGTCGAAGTAGGCGTTGCGGTCGAAGTCCGTGAGGTCGCGCAACTCGCGGCGCACGTAGCGGCACGTGACGTTAAACGCCGCGAGCGCGCCCTTGGCCACGCGCCGCGCCTCGACGCGGTGCGCGCCGACGCGCGTGAACGTCACCTCGACCTCCTGGCCGCCCGTGGCGCGGAACATGGGCGCGGCCTCGTCCTCGTGCGTCGCGGTCCACTCGACGACCTCGTCCGACGCGACGTTGTCGAGCGTGAGCCGCGTGGCCTTGTGCGCCTCGACGAGGCGCTCGAAGGGGTACCAGCCGTCGCCGATGGGCGCGCCCAGGCGGCGCTCGTACGCGTTGGACACGCGCAGCTCCACGGGCGTCTCCGCGAGGTTCGACGCCGCCGCCGTCTCGTAGAGCGCCGCGACGCCGAGGGCCGCGGCGGCGCCGGCGCAGACCGCGAGGCCCACGACGACCATCTGCACCTTGCGCGGCCGGGACCGCGCGGAACGTGGCCGAGGCTCGCCTCCAGACAGCGGCGCGACCTCGTCCTGCGACAGGGGCTCCATCGCGCGGGCTGCGTCCTCCGATTACGGCAACATTGACTTGTCAGTTTGGAAGCAGCCCGACAATGGCTCTGCAAGACATCGAAGCCGACGGGCCGCAGGATCTCGCGCCTCTGAATGCCGGCCTCCGCCTCCTCGACGAGGCGCAGCAAGAGCGCGTCGTGATCAAAGAGGAGAAGCTCGACGAAGAGGACGCGCGCAAGTACGCCCACGCTTTCATCGAGAAGCAGAAGGATGAGATAGCCACGCTCAAGGAGGAGAAGGCTGCGCTGCAGAAGACACTCGAGCAGAAGGAGGAGATCATCAAGGAACAGGCGGCGCGCATCGCCGAGCTCGAGGGAAATACCACGCCCGAGCCCGCCGCTCCCGCCGAAACCGCCGCGCCTGCCGAGCCCGCGGTTCCCGATGAACCCATGGCTGCCAACGAACCTGAGCTCCCCGGGCCGGCCGCCGCGGCGGCTCCGGACGAAACGCGCAAGCGGAACTTCGATGAGCTCGATGTCGCGTTAACGCAACCAATCACAGAGAACGACTACAAGTCGTTAACGCAACGAATCACAGAGAACGACATCAAGTCGAACAAAATTCGCATCCCGCGGAATTCGACGGCGCGGTTGCTGCTCCCCGACGAGAACGCGAAGATTTACGTCGAACTAAAGGGAAATATCTGCGCTGTCGACTGGGACACAGGGAACGACAGGGACAGGCTGCGATCGGGATCGCTTCTGTTTCGGAAGCCGCGCTTGAAGGATTTTCAAGCGGATGATGTGTTCGGTCCTCCTGGATGGGACTCTAAACGTCCTCCACTCGTCGTACGCAGGCAGCCGGCCTTTATTATCAATGCCCTCGATGATGGATGTCATGACGGACTCAAATGGAAATATATCCTGTCCCGCCAGCCTGGGAACTAATACCATCTGACTCTTACAAGACGTGCGCGCGCAGCGCGTCGAGGACCCCTTGTGGGTGCGTCATGATGGGCTTGTGGCCCGCGCCGTCGAGCACGACGACGGCCGCCGCGGCCCGGAGCGCGTCCTCGTCGTGCGACACGATCCCGCCGCCGACGACGGTGTCGTCCGCGCCGTAGACGAGGAGGAGCTTGGGCCTCCCGGGCCGGCGGATCACGCTCGCGAGCGCGTCCTGGAGGAACGTCGCGTCGCCGGGCTCGCCGCTCAGGAGGTGGCGGATCTCCGCGCCGACGCGGTCCACGTAGCCGGCGTTGCCGCGGACCTGCTGCGCGACGTGGCGCTCGGCCTGCCGCGCGTAGGCCCCGTGGGCGCCGACCGCCAGGGCCTTCTCGAAGTCCCCGGCCTGCGATGCGACGACGTAGGGCGCGCCGCGGTCGAGGCCCGACCAGCCGATCCGAAAGAGCGGCGACGCGACGAAGGCCCGCTCGAGAGACGAGTCCCCGAGCGTGTCGAGCACGGGGCAGATGAGCGCGAGACCCGCGAGCGGCGCCGCCGAGGACGGCGTCCGCGTAGCGCGTCGCGTGGAGCGTGCCCATCGAGAAGCCGACGACGACGAGGTCCGCCGCGCGCGACCGCGTCGCGGCGTCGGCGACGACGGCGGCGATGGATTCGACGGCGGCGTCGCCGACGTCGTCGCGCCAGGGGTCGGCGCACGACGACGCGCCGTGGCCGGGCAGGTCGACGCACGCGACGGCCGCGACGCCCTCGGCCGAAGCGAGGAGCGGCGCCAGGTAGCAGAACTGGCGCGAGTCGCCGGTGAGGCCGTGCACGCACACGACGAGCGTGCTGCCACCGGCACCATCGAGGAGCCGGTAGGTCCGGCTCGGCGAGAGTGTCATCACCTCTCCGAAGGCGTCTTCCAACGACAGACCACCGCTGCGGCGCTGACGCTCGCGCGCGCGGCGCCGGTTCCGCGCCACGAGCGCGTACGCGACGAGCGCGGACGCCGACGCCGCGAGCGTTGCGACGACCAAGCGCGGCGGTGCCATTTACATCCAGTCTATTCCGTCGATCACACCATCACTTGTGAGGGAGTCTGGCCGACGTTGTCGCTGAACTTGAAACTGTCAAGCTGCCCTGACGATGTAGCTCTGCGTAAGGTGTAATGAAGAGGCCGCGCACACCCGAGGAAGAGCAACCGCTGCGGACCGCGCCGCCGCGCCCGTTGCAGAACCGAGTCACGCCGCATGGCGCCATCGTGCGCACTGCGGAGCGCTATCCGGATCCGACGGCCATGTTCGGGAACCGAGGCGTCCTCCACGACGACCGTCGCAACCTCGTGCGCCAGCACCGCGGCAAGATGTGGCTGTCGTGCCGATTGCGCGTCGATCGCACGCGAAAGGTGCAGCGCGACGACAACCGCGCCTTCAACGGGAGGAAGCGGACGCTCATGGCGCCGCGGCGCTACACCGAGCTCTTCTTCCTGGACGAGCCGACGAGCATGGCGGCGGGACATCGGCCCTGCGCGTGCTGCCGGCGGGCCGATTTCACGCGCTTCCTCGCGTGCTGGCGCGCGGCGCATCCGAACGGCCAGTGGACCGCGGGATCGATCGACGCCGCGCTCCACGACGAGCGCCTCGCGCGCCGGCTGCCCGCCGCGGCGCCGGCGGCGCTGCCCGACGGCGCCTTCGTCCTACGGAGCGCGGACGACTCCGCGTGGCTCAAATGGCGCGGGCGGCTCCACCGCTGGACGCACGGCGGCTACGTCGACGCGGCGCCCCTCGCCGCGGACGACGAGGTCCGCGTGCTCACGCCGAGCCTCCTCGTGGCGACGCTCGCCGCGGGCTTCGAGCCGAATGCGCCCCACGCCTCGGCGGGCGAGCGGGCCTCCCCGGTGGACGTCGGGTAAATTACGCGCGCCTAGAACTTGAGCGAGCAGAACGCGCCGACGCCGCCCTTGGCCCAGGTGAGCTGGTCGGCCTGCCCGAGGTTGTTCTTGCCGTCTTCCCTGTTCGAGGGGATCTCGATCCACATGACGAAGTTCGTACTGTGGCCCGTCGTCGAGAGCACGCCGCGCCTCGAGAGGACCTTGTAGATCGGGCACCGGTAGATGCCGCCCGTCGGGTCGACGCGGTCCTTGACGGGGCTGAGGTGCATGATGGGCGCCGGCGAGTAGAGCTGCTTCGGGCGCGAGTCGTTGAGGGAGCGGATGTCCGGGTCCCAGCGCGCGCCCTCGAGGAAGAGGCCGCGGATGTAGACGCCGTCCGCGGGCTTCTCCTTGATGCTCTCGGGGCTGAACGTGTCGAGCATGATGAAGTCGAAGGAGATGGTGTCGATGGGCAGCTGCTTCGACCGCGCGAAGTTCTGCATGGACCCCGTGAGGAAGGCCTGGGGGAAGTAGAAGCCGCTGATCCAGAACGTGATGGGGATGCCCGCGTCGATCCACGTGTGCACGAAGTCGAGGCGCTGCATGAGGTCGTCGACCCAGGGCGTCAGCGGCTTGAGCGACGGGTAGGCCTTGGACTCCCAGGCCGACGGCACGGCGGCGACGGCGATGCTGTTGCCCATGGACTCGAGCTCGTTCGACATGACGACCAAGCCCTGGAGCGCCTTCGCGAGCTCCGGGAGCGTGAGCTCCATGACCGTGATGAGCTTGTTGTAGCGGATGCACTCCTGGGCCAGCACCGTGTTCATGGACTCCTCGTAGACGACGGGGTACTGCATCTGGATCGCCTGGACGTCGAACAAGCCGCGCTTCTCGAGCTTGGCCGTGATGTCGTCGACCTCGCGCGCAATGAGCTCCTCGGAGCCGCCGCCGCCGCCGCCGCCGCCGCCGGACGACGCGAGGCTGAGCAGCGTGTCGAACATCTTGAAGGCCTCGTTGAAGGCGCAGGAGATGTTCGCGTTCTCGTGCATGCCGAAGATCGACGGGCCCGCCGTGAGCGGCAGCGACTCGATGTACTCCATGTAGGACGCGTGGGGGCTCTCCGGGTCCGGGTCGATGGATTTATAGATCTTCTCCGGGTCGAAGCAGAAGTCCTTCTCGAAGATGCGCTCGTTGTAGAACGACTTCATGATGACGTCGATCGTCCTTAAATCGATGTAGTCCGTCACGCGGCCGCCGTAGTTGATGTAGGACGTCAGGAAGCAGAGGACGCGGTAGGGGATGTACTCGTAGGAGTCGAGGAACATCTCGAGCTGGCCCCGGGAGATGTCCAGATCCGTCTCGTTGAACTCGTAGGGCACGTTCCACCCTAAAGGCCCGAACTTGCGCCGCTCCTGCGCGGACGCGTGGAAGAAGACGAGGGCGAAGAGCAGCTTGCGGTAGGCCTCGGGCTTGGACGTCACGGAGAGCTTCGCGTCGTCGAGCTTGAAGAAGACCGATTTCAAGTTCGCCTTGAGGCCCTTGGGCGGCTCGTTCGTCATCTTGACGCCGTTCTGGAGGATGGACACGGGGAAGTCGCCGCAGGGCATGGACGTGAGCCAGAGCCGAAAGTCCTTGTGCGTCGCGTCGGGGCTCAGCCCGTCGCAGAGGCGCTCGAGCTCCGTGAGCCAGGAGATGAAGAGGTGGCAGTTCTGGAGGTAGACCCAGGACCCCTTCTGCGTCGCCTCCTCGATCATCTTCGTCGCCTTCGTGCCCTGGCCCTGGCCCAGGGACAGCTTCTTCACCTTCTTGTCGAAGCGCATCTCCGCGCAGAACAAATTGAACGCCTTCGTCGGGTCGCTGCCCTTCGTGAGCACGAAGATCAAGGGCGTCAGGTTCGACGAGTCCTTGTAGCAGGCCGGCAGGTTGAAGGGCGGCGGCTCGATGAAGCGCTGGCCGAGCTTCTCGATGACGTAGTTCATGACGCCGTCGGGGATCTTGTCCGCGCGGAGCGCGCGGAGCACCATGAGCTTCTGGAACGAGTTCAGGGTGAACTCCCACTTGGCCGGGAGCGCGACCTTGTGGGGCTCGATGTGGTCGTAGTACTTGCGCCACTCGTCGATGTAGGTCCCGAAGTCCTTCTCGAAGCCCGCGAACTTCTCCATGCCCCCGAGCATCAAAACCTCGGACCACATGCGGCCGTCGAGCCAGCCGCTCGGCGCGCCCTCCGGCGCGGGGTTCTCCGCGGTCTTCGGGTTCGGCGCCTTGCCCGAGATGAGGAAGCGCCACTCGACGGGGTCGATGTCGCCCGCGCCCTCGAGGATCTTGATCGTCATGAGGAAGGACAGGAGGAGCTTGTCCTTCTCGAAGAGCGACCGGCAGACGTTGACGTAGACGTAGTACGTGAAGAAGTCGTTCAAAATCTCCAGGCGCGCCTCGAGGTCGTCGTTCGCGTCCGCGAGGCGGATCGCCGCCACGAAGAGCGCCGTGAACCACTGGAGCGAGTACTGGTACATGGGGTCGACGACGGCGAGGCCGACGACGGAGAAGTACAGGATCGTCGCGCGGTAGGCCACGGGGCGGTAGCGCTCGCGGCTCGTGTCGATCTCGCGCTCCGTCGTCTCGGCCTCGGCGACCTTGGCCGTGATCTCCTGGGACGTCTTCTTCGACGACGCGAGCGTCTCGATGAGCTCGTGGTCGTCGAGGATGTTGCCCGTCGAGTTCGAGAGCATGTACAAAATCTTGTCCTCGATCTCCTTGAGCTCCTTCTTCATCGACGCGTTCGCCACCACGAGCGAGTTCTTCTTCTCCTCCATGTCCGGCCGCTCCTCGACGACGACGACGCCCAGGAGCTGGTCCTCCAGGCCCACGGGCGTGATCGCGAAGTTCAGCAAAGACACCTTGACGCAGACCTCGGGCGCGTAGTGCGGGTTCGGCATCTTCGTCGTCATGAAGAACTTGAACGAGTCGTTCCAGGGGATCGTGGAGTCGCCGATCTTGATCATCTCCGTGCCGCCCTGGAGGAACTTCTGCTGGAGGAGCAGCGGCTCGAGCGCGGCGTCGAGCGTCTCGCCGACGTTCTCGAGGAGCACCCAGCGGCCGAAGCGCACCGCGTTCTCGAGGGTCCGCAGGAAGTTCTTCTCCGTGAGCTTCGTCGTCTCGATGCCGTTCTCCGCGAGGTGGGGGTCCTTGCCCATGTTCTTGATGAAGCGGTTCGCCTGGCCCTGGGGGTCGATGAGCAAGGGAAAACGCCTCGCGCGCGACATGATGATGCCGTTCTCCACGGAGGACGCGTCCTGGGGCAGGCCGCAGATGGTCCAGGTGCGGATGGCGACGGCGTCGGCGAGGGTCTGGCGGATGTCGCAGCCCTCCGTGTGGGGCAGCTGGAGCTCGCGGAGCGTGTCCTGCCAGTCGCGCGTGAGCTCCTTGCGGAAGTCGGGCGTGAAGGGGCCGCTGTAGGCGATCGTCGCCGAGGAGATGAGGGAGTCGCCGATGAGGGACGTGTAGTCGAGCTCGAGCTTGGCGCAGGACTCGGTCCAGCGGCTCCGCTCGCCGCCGAGACCGCCGATGAGCTTCTGCGCGCGGTCGAGGCGCGCGCGGCACTCGTCGACGTCCTTCTTCAGCTGCTCCTTCTTCGCGTTGGCGTCGTTGAACTCCGACTCGAGGCGCGCGATCTTCTGCATGACCTCGCTCAGCGTGCCCTGGGCCACCGCGAGGGCCGCCTGCGTGATCTTCAGCGACTCCGTCGCCTCCGCCAAAAGCTTCTTCTTCGGCTCGACCATGACGGACACCTCGTGGTACTTGTGCATGGCGCGCACCCACATGCACATGGCCGTGCAGGCCTTGGAGGCCTTCTCGATGACGGAGGGCTGGAACTCCTCCATCGCGATGTACGGCGCGATCTGCGAGATGATCTTCGTCGGGATGTTGTCCTTGTCGTAGGCCTTCATCTTGTCGATGAGCTTGGCGCCTAGACTCAGCACCTCCTTCTGGGCCGCCTTGAAGTAGTTCATGATCTTCTTGCCCGGGTTCGCGGGGTCCTTCTCCATCTCGGGCTTCACACCGAACATGATGCAGCACGCCTCCATCGTCAGCTTCACGCCAAAGGGCGGCTTGCCCATGGTCTTGACCTCGTCGATGTCGCTCTTCTTCAGCGAATTCAGGCACTTGACGGCCTCGTCGAGGGCGGGCAGGGCCTCGTCCAGGTCCTTCTGCGCGTCGTCGGCGATGGCCTGCGTCTCCGCCTCCTTCTCGCGCGCGGACGCCTCCTCCGCGGCGACGACCTTCTGCGTCTCCGCCGCGTCCTTCTTGTCGGCGTCGATGTGGATGATCATCTGCTCGACCTCGGCCTGGGTCTTGATGAGCTTGGGCTCCATGTCCGTGAGCTGCACCTGGAGCGCCTCGACCTGCGTCGCCGTCGAGATGAGCTTGTCGAGGCCGACCTGGAGCCGGTTCTTGAGCGTGCCGACCTCGTCGCGCTTCAAGCCCAGGACCTGGTTGTAGGTCGAGAGCAGCTCGAGGTAGGACGTCGGCGTCACGTAGTTGTGGCGGCCGAGCTCCGAGAGGAACGTCTCGGACTTGCGCGCGACGGACATGTGCGCGTGCTTGACGAAGGTCACGACGGACTGGAGGTGCTCCTCCAATTTCAGGTCCGTCTCCGTCATGGACCGCGTCGCGACGGACTGGAGCGCCTCCTCGGGCCACTCCGCGAACCAGTCGATCGTGCAGCCTGCGGCGCGCGCGGGGGTTTCGAGCGGGGGAGACGGGGCGGGGCGGGGCGGGGGGCGAGCCCAGGGGACGCGGCTCGCCCACAGTTGACGATGGACGGGAACTTGCGGAGGCGCGTGCGGAAGGCCTCGCCGAGGGGCGACATGCAGAGCACGAGGTGGATGTTGGCCATGACGCGCTGGATGAACTGCGCGAAGATGTTGAGCTTCGTCGGCTGGATGCGCTTGCGGACGCAGTCCTGCTTGCACGTCGTCATGATGTTGTCCATGTCCTCGACGGCGTAGATGTTGGGCACGTCGCCCGTGTTGAGCACGTTGTTGATGTCCTCGAGCATGGACTCGAAGACGATCTGCGTGTCCGAGAAGAGGAAGACGACGGGCTGCGCCTTGATGCCCGCGAGCAGCAGCACCTCCTTCAGCGCCTCGCGCCACTCCGACATGCCGAAGCCCTTGGTGATCTCGATCTGGGAGATCTTGTAGTCGCACATGAACGTCGCGAGCCGCGTGAGCGACTGGCGGCCCGAGCCGCCGACGCCCAGGAGCAGCACGTTGCCCTTGGGCTGGCGCATGACGCGCGTGATGCGGGCCACGTGGGAGATGGCGTCCATGAACATGACGAGGTGCATGGGCTGCTTCGAGTCCTGGTTGTACTCCGTCAGGTACTCCTCGATCGTCGGCTGGAGCTGCGCCATGTCCTTGACCTCCTCGTAGAGCCGCGGGTCCGCGCCCGGGACCATGAAGTCGCCGAAGATGATGGGGTACTCGATGGACGCCTTGTGGTCCTCGCCGCAGTGCTTGCCCGCGGCGGCCAAGATGAGCTCGTCGAACCACGCGTGGTCCTCCGCGTTGATGAGCCGGTCGCCGAAGATGCGCTGGTTCTCGTGCGTAAACAAGCGCACGAAGTCGCGCGCGGTCTTCACGTTGCGCGCCGTGACCATCAGCACGCCCTGGAAGACCTTGGAGATGTCCCGCAGATTGAACTGGTAGTGGCTCTTCGCCGGCGTCGGCCTTAAATCGCTCAAAATCGTGTTGTAGATCAGGATCGTCGCGTCGACGACGCCGCCGCAGAGCGCCTGGATCTCGTCCGCGAAGCGGTTCGTCGTCAGAAAGTTGGACAGGATGGTCTGGAAGATGAGCTGCATGGACTTGTCCTCCATGGGCGTGTAGCCCACGGTGTTGAAGTGGCGCGGGAACCGCGCGGACAGCGAGTTGCGCCCGCCGCCGGGCGGGCCGCACGCGCAGACGAAGATGACGTCGATGATGCGCCGGAACGTCAGCGCCTTGCGGTCGTACCAGCCCTCGTTGTCGAACCACTGGCGCAGGATCTCGATGGGCGGCTGCGCGCCGTACTCCTCCTTCATGGGCATGTTCACGTCGTCGACGAAGATGACGTACTTCTTGCCCGCCGCGGGGCCGAAGATGCCCTTGCGCCGCTTCTCGCACTTGCCGTCGAGCTGGTCCTGGATCTGGTTCGCCGACGTCTGCGCCGAGAAGGTGATGCAGATGGGCACGTACGAGTCCGGGAAGCCGCCCTGCAAGTGGCGCGAGATGTTCACCGTCTTGCCCGTGCCCGTGGGGCCGCTCATCATCACGTGCTTGCCGTTCGTCACCAGCGTGTCGAGCAGATAGGTGTAGCGCACGCTGTCGAGCGTCGGGATGATGAGCTCCGCGAAGCTCGCCGCGGCGTCGTGCTCGTAGCCGGCGACCGTGTCCATCCACGGCACCCACTCGTTCTTCTCCATGTCGAAGAGGTAGTCGTAGATGAAGCCGCCCGCGGGGATCTGGCGCTTGCTGTCGTTCATGAACATGAAGTTGCGCAGCCACGCGTCCATGACCTGGCGGCCCCGCGTGTCCACCGTACAACACGCGGACCAGATGAACGCGAAGATGAAGATGGGCTCGATCTGCGTCGCCACGAGGTCGACGTCCTCGGCCGTCTTCGGCTCCACGCCCTCCTTGGGGTGGAAGGGCTCGAAGGCGCAGTCCATCAGGTTCAGCAGCGCGTCCAGGAGCGCGCCGTCGACCGTCGGGAACGGCTCGTTCAGGTTCCGGCGGATCAGCGCGGCCGCGGGGCCGAAATAGGTATCAAAAAGCGTCTGCAGCACGGTCTTGTGCGGCGCCCCGAAGGACTCCGGGAGCTTCTGGAGCCACGACTGGACGATGGGGTCCGCGCCGAGCGACTTGGGCTCCATGTAGATCATGCCGCAGCGGCTCACCGTCGCGGGCGACGCGACGGCCAGGTCCTCGGGCTCGAACATCATCGTCATCTGGTCCGACAGGGACATGATCTCGCCGGACGTCAGGCAGAGCTTCTTGTTGTCGTCGAGCACCGTGTTCATGTTCTCGATCCAGATCGCGTCGACGGGGCCGTCGAAGAGCACCCACTGGAGGTCCGGCTTCGTGTTCTTGATGCAGAGGCGCACGATGGACGCCAAGATGCCGTCCTGCCACTCGTGCGTGTTCGCGTCGAACATGCCGTAGAGCTGGCCCATGGTGATGGACTTGGGGTTGAGGTGGTGGATGTCGACCTTCTCGTAGCGGTTGCCCTCGAAGTTCTGCTCGTTGAGCATGGTCAGCGCGCGCTGGAGCGTGCGGATGTTCGACGACTTGCCGCCGCCCGTCGGGCCGACGACCATGAGGCCGTGGCGCACGCAGATCATCTCGTAGAGCTCGATGTTCTTGCGGATGAAGATGGGCACGGCCTGGAGCGTCTTCTCGCTGATGGCGGCCTTGAGGCACGTGATGAGGGGCCCGTAGTCGAAGGGCGGCCGCGTGATGCCCGGGAAGAGGTCCGACAGGATGCCGTCGAAGAGCGGCAGGTCGTGCGCGAGGAACTTGGGCACGTTCACGTCCTGCAGCGCGCGGAGCAGCAGCGCCTCCTCGTTCTCCTCCGGCGCCGCGCGCTTCAGGTTGCCCGCGGCCGTGATGACGGTCTTGACGGCGCGCATGCCGTAGTCGTAGTGGTCCTGGCTGCTGAGCTGCTCGGAGCACAGCCGGAACGTCGCGACCATCTTCTTCGCGCACTTGCGGTTCTCCATGTAGCCGTAGGAGAAGAGCATGATCTCGCCGATGAGGGCGTAGTCGGGGACCATCATGGCCACGGGTCTAAACAAGGCCTCGAGGTTGTCCGGGAGCTCGGAGCGGCCCGCGTAGCCCGGGTTCATCGTGATGAAGACGGCGAACTCCGGGTTCACGTTGATGTCCGTGTCCTCGAACATGATGCGCTCCTCGTTGCGCTGGACGGCGCCCTGGAGCGTCATGATCTGCTGGGCGATGACGCTGAGGACCTCGATGTTGATGCGGTTGAACTCGTCGAAGCACGCCCACGCGCCCGCGGACGCGAGGCCCTTGAAGAACTTGCCCATCGCGCGGTAGTCCAGGCCGTCGGAACCTAGGAGTAGCTAACGTCAAAAATGGCATCGAGCGCCGCGGACGCGGCGCGCGCGCAATTAAAGACGACGCACTGCTTCGCGAGGGCCTTCGCGAGGTCCTTCGTCGTCTCCGTCTTGCCCGTGCCCGCGGGCCCCGCGGGCGCGCCGCCGAGGATCATCTGCAGCGCGCCCATGATCGTGATGTAGCACTTGTCCGTGAGCGGCGTGATGACGAGGCGGAAGGAGTTGCCCAGGTACTCGTAGCCGTAGGCGCGCTTCGACTCGACCTGCTTGACCCAGAGGTCGCCCGACGCGTCGTCGCCCTCCCAGTAGAAGCGCATCTGCGACTGCCAGTCGAAGTCCGTGCAGGACGACACGCCCGCGTCGGCCATGGCCTTCATGACGTCGCGCGCGTGCACGTCGATGACCGCGAGCGCGCCGACGGTCGTCCGCTGGCCCTTGGACAGGTCCGTGCGGATGAGGATGACCATGTCCTGGAGCTGGGACTTGCACTGCTCGTAGTACTCGAAGATGCCCGCGTTGCCCTTGGACGCCATGATCTCCTCGACCTCCTGCGTCCAGTGGACCTGCGACCCGTTGAGCACGACCTGGCCCGGCCACTCGATCATCCACCGCGTCCGCTTCGTCTCCGGGTAGGCGCGCACGGCGCGGATCATGTGGTCGCGCACGGCCTTGCACATGGCGACGTTGATCTCGACCATCCAGTCCTCGATGTTCTTGTTCACGGGGTTCACGGGCGCGACGAAGTCGACGATCTCCTTCTCGCTCGAGTTCATGCGCGAGATCGTCAGGTCCGCCTCGAAGTCGAGGGACTTGATGCCCTATGGGGAAGAGTGTCGGGTCCGCGAACGAAACCAAAAGAAACGCGGGAAGCACGCGCCTCGAAGCACTTGCGGAGGTGGGGCTGGACCATGCGCGGGTCCTTCGTCTCCGACAGGATCTCGAGGAGGTCGCCGTCGCTGAGAAAATAAAACCGGGAGAAGCCCGCGCGCTTCGTCTCGAGGTAGTCGCTCAGGCCCTTCTGGACCATGTCCAGCAGCTTGTTCGACTCGCGGAAGCGCTCGAGAAGCTTGGGGTCGTTGCAGAAGAGGATCGCGAGCGTCGTGCCACTCGCCGCGCTGTTGAGCGTCTGGCGCCAGTGCTTGTCCACGGTCGCGAAGCGCTTGCCCTCGACGGGCAGCTGCTTGTTGATGTCCGGCGAGTCGAAGATGGGCTGGAGGTAGAGCCAGTTCTTCTGGACCGCGACCCACTCGTCGATGAGCTCCGAGACGATCTGGAGCGTCGTGTTCCACTTCTCGATGCGCTCCTCGAAGGGGCCCTTGAAGGCGGAGAAGGTCATGGCCTGGGTCGTCGTGATGTGCTCGTCCAGCAGGGCCATGTACTCGTCGATGCCGCGCAAGATCGACGTGCCCGTCTCCTTGTAGGGCTCGATCTGGAGCGTGACGTCGCTCCAGGCCTTCTCCATGGTGTCGAGCGAGTTCTCGATGGCGTACTCCTTGCCCGCGACCTCGCTGATCTTGGTGATGACGTCGACGTGGTCCTGGAGCTTCATCTCGAAGATCGTCTCGAGCGTGTACGACTCGTCGGGCTTCACGTCGACCTTGATCTTCTGCGACAGGTTCTCCCAGTGGCGGTCGCGCATGCCCTGCTGGCGCAGGGCGATGACGAGGGGCACGTGGGGCCGGAACTCGTTGACCTGGCCCAGGATCGTGCGGCAGACGTTGAGGCAGCCGTCGAGCTTCTGCGCCTCGAACGTCTTCTCGCACTTGACCAGGACGCGGTAGATCGTCGTCGTGTCCGTCTCGATGCCCTCGGCGTCGAGCTTCAGGAAGTCGTCGCTCATCCACTTCTTGTGGTACTGGAGCCAGTGGTCGACCTGCTCCCACATGTTGCCGTAGGGCTCGAACTTCTTCGCGACGTCGCGCAAGAGGTCGTACTGCGTCACCTCCTTGTTGAAGAGGGCCTCGCGCGAGTTGAAGAGGCGCGCCTCGTCCTCGGCGGACGCCAGGTCCTTCTTGATGCGCCGCACGTGCGCCGAGACCTGGTCCACGAGCTTGAGGTCGTAGAACGTCCTTAAATTGTCGACCTCGTCCATGTAGCCCCGGAGGCGCTCGCGGAACTCGCCCTGGGCCTCCTCCATGTCGTTCTCGTAGGACTTTTCGAGTTTCAAACAGTGCTCCTCGAGCTCCTCGCACTTGTCCGCGACCTTCTTCGGCCAGCCGAAGACCTCCCAGCGGAGCCGGAAGTCGCCCGGGTCGAGCTTGTAGAGGATGCCCTCGAGGACGCCGTAGTTCTCCATGGACGTGTCGATGACCTTTTGTAATTTAAACACCGCGTCGGGGATCGTCTCCATGTAGTCGCGGAGCTCCGTGAGCTCCTCGATGTTCGTCGGCTTCGCGTTCAACTTGCGCATGATGTCCCCGAAGGACACGGTGGAGTCCGCGGCGTGCTGGTTCGTCTTGATGGCGACGAGGTCCAACAGCATCTTCGCGATGCGGCCGTGCTTCTCGGCGAGGATGCGGCCCACGGTCTTGCCCGAGACGGCGAAGAGGCCCACGGCGACGGTCTCCGGGATGAGCGCCTCGACCTTCTTCTGCTCGCCGAGGTGCTTCTCCGCGAGGCTCTTGAGCGCGGGCACGTCGAGGGGCGGGATCGCCAGCTCGTTCTTCTCGTCCTCCGTCAGCCCCGGGGGCGGGCCGCCCCACTTGGCCTCCGCGTCGCCGATGTACGCGTCGACGTCTAACCGCAGGAACTCGAGGAACCCGTCGTAGGTCGCCAGGTAGGCCTCCAACGGCGCGACGGCCGCGCGCAGCGTCTGCGCGACCTCGGCCCGCAGGTCGATGACCCACTGCTCCGTGGGGTGCACGGACGTCATGATCGGGTCGTGGCTCCAGAAGAGCCGCGTCATCACGCGGCGCTCGACCTGGACGATGGACTGGGTCTGGATGATGGCCTGGTCGAAGTGCTTCAACGGGATCTCCTCGAAGGCCGCGAGGTTCGACGAGTAGCCTAAGGTTTTGTCGTCGCCCTCGCCGACGATGACGATGTCGATGAGGAACAGGGGCAGCCGCTTCGCCTTGGACGCGACGCCCGCCGTCGGGTAGGTCGTCGTGACGTCGTTGGAGCCGCGCACCTCGACGTCGCAGTCGCAGGCGCGGATGAGGTAGGCCGCGTACGCGCGGATGCTGTCTTCCACTAAATACCGCATCGAGTCCTGCATCATGAAGTTGACGAACTGCAGGAACTTCTTCAGCTTGGAGAAGGCGTAGACCTCGTTGTTCGCCTCCTCGAGGTTGAACCAGCCCTTCTTGACGTCCTTGAGCTGCTGGCGCACGTGGCCGCAGACGTTCGACGGCCAGCTTTCCCGGAGCCGGCCCGCGACGGCCTGCGTCGCCTCGTGCTGCGTGTTCGCGAACTCCTCGACGCGCACGGACTTCGTGAGGAAGTTGAAGAAGCTCAGGGCCATGACCTTCAGGCACTCCTGCTTCACGTTGACGACGATCTTGATGATCTCGGGCCGCGTGAGGCACGAGTGGAAGCGGAACTCCTTGTAGGCCACGCCGAAGTCGTAGCCCGGCGGCAGCGCGATGGTCCCCTGGCGCCGCGGCGGCGGCTTCGCCTCCTCGCGGGGCAATACAATAGCCCGCAGGAGCTCGTTCGTGTCGCCCTCCGCGGCGTGCGTCGCCCGGAAGACGATCTTGTTGAGCGTCCGCGTGTAGTCCGTGTTCACCTCGGCGATGACGCGCGACGTCTCGAGGGCCGTGCGCCGCAGCGCCTTCGTGTTGATGGCCAAGGCTAAGATGCGGCCGCAGAGCTCCGAGTCCAGCGGCTTCGTGCCCTCCGTCGGCATGCAGTCGACGTACAGGTTGTGGAGCAGCACGGCCTCGGCGTCGCGGCGCCGCGCGTGGGCGTCCGTGACGCGCTCCACGAACACAAACGGGTCCTCGGCGACGAAGCAGATGTGCATGCGGTGCACGGGCGTCGGCTCGACGGGCTCCGTCTCCGGCGCCGCGCCCTCGTCCGGGTCCCACGCGACGCCGAAGCGCTCCGCGGCGGCGTCGTAGGACACGACCTTGCCCCGGCGCCAGACGCCCTGCTCCGTCGCCTCGTCGCGCATGTGGAGCGCGCGGCAGGGCAGGCCCTGCTGGTTGCCCGCGTCGTCCGTGCCCATCGCGAGCCACGCGTCCGCCGTGTGGACCTCGAAGTCGCCGTTGTCGAAGACGATCAGGGGCAGCGCCGACCCCGGCGGCACGTCGCCCTCGTCGCCCTTGCCGCCCAACAGCTGGGAGCTGTAGGGCACGCTGTAGTCGATGCCCTTGGCCATGAGCAGCGTCTCGATGTCCTGCGCCGCGTAGAGCCGCTTGCGCCGCTCGATCTCGAGCTTGCGCGGCATGCCGCCGGGCTTGGGCTTGTAGGCCGTGATGACCTTGGGCTCGATGGCGTGGTTGTCGAAGGCGAGCTCGCTCACGTTCGTCGGCCGCACGTCCGCGAGCGCGCCGTCGGCCGCGAACGCGGCCGCGAGCGGCGGCTTCTGGGTCTTCATGTCCTCCATCTCGAAGACGCTCTCGGAGACGACGTCCTCGGGCTTGAGGCCATAGCTCAGGAGCTCGCTGAAGTAGGCCCGCTGGTGGCTCGTCGCCCCGCCCGGCGGCGGCGGCGGCCAGTCGCTCGTCTCCCCCGACGTCATGGCGCCGGGCCTGGCTCCACCCGCTCCGGGCGGCGCCCGTCCGTCGGCGAAACCGGAACCGCGCGGCCTCGGGTGCGGAGCGCCGCCCGCGAGCACGTCGCGCGGAAGGGCTGCGCCGGGCAGCACACAGCCCAAGCGCTGAGCCGAGCCGAGAGGGAAACGTCGAGAGGAAACGTTGAAGCGGATATGCAATCCGTCCCTCGAGCCGTTGGGGGGGAACCGACCATCGTCCTAGTGCTTCAATTTTACGGGGTTCATCAGCCCGTCGGCGGCGTAGACCGCGGCCTTTTTCTTCTTCTTGCGCTTGAAGCAGCACGACAGGACGTTCATGATGCGGTCGAACTTCTCCTGCTTGCGGAGCTTGTCCGGCTCGATGATCTCCACGTACGCGTCGAGGAAGGCCGGCGCGTACTGCATGATGAGTTCCTTCTCCTCCATGGCCTCGACGTCCCCCGACCGGAGCGCCTTGCCGCCGACCTGGTTGTAGGCCTTGCGGAGCGCCCACTCGTCGGGCCGCCGCGTCTTTGTCGCCGCGCAGACCATCTTCTCCGTCTCCGCCTCGTCGAGCCAGCCCTTCTCGCCGACGTCGAAGAGCGTGAACTGCTCGACCCAGGCCTTGTGGCGCTTCTTCGTGTCCTTGCGCTTGTCCATGTACTCCTTGTAGTTGGCGACGACGTCGTCGAGCTGGTCCCGGGGGAGGCCGTGCTTGAGCTTGCCGTTGGGCTTGATGACGCCGATGTGGACGAGGGCGTCGTCGGGCGGCGAGACGCCGTTGATCTTCTCGAAGAACTGGATGGTCTGGTGCTTGTCGAGGCAGAGCTTGCCGCGGCTCACCTGGTCGTAGACGTAGCCGAGCTTCTTCGACTTGCCGCTCCCGGCGTCCTTCTCGAGGCCCGCGAGCACGGACATGCGCCGCCACTTGACCTCGGCGTAGTGCTTGAGGTCGAGCGTGCGCACGAACGTCGGCCGGTGCCGCTTCGCCGCGTCCGCGGCGTTCCGCTTCGCGGCCTTGGCCTCCTCCTTCTCCCGCGTCTCCTTCTCGACGACCGCGGCGACCTCCTTCTCCCGGAGCTCGCGCTTGAGGGCCGCCTCCTCGACGTCCGTCAGCGCCTGGATGCGGTTGTACTCGTCGATGCGCGCCTGGCGGTCCGCGAAGTGGTTCTCGCCGGGCGCCTCGCGCTTCTTCTTCTTCTTTTTGGGCTTCTCCGCTTTTATTGGCTCGAGCACGAGCTTCGGCATCGTGTATGGTCAGCGCACGCCGGCGGGGACCGCCGCCACCGCCGCGCCCATACCGCCAGCGCAAGGGAGCAGCCCGAAGCAATCGTTGCGTAAAAGGAGGTTGCAGGGCAAGTTCAGCCCATGTTGAACGTCTCCGGCTTAAGAAGTTCCATTAGAGGAAGCTGTCCGGCGCGAAGGAGGACGTGTCCCGGGCGCCGCACTGGACGACGCCCCGCGTCGCGCGCATGTGGCCGTTCCCGGCCGCGGCGGGCGCCGGCGGCCGGCCCGCGGCCGATCCCGGCGGCGACCAGGGCCGCGGCGGCGCCGGCGCGCCCCGCGCGAGCGCGGAGCCGCCGCCGCGGCGCTCCAGGGGCGACGCGACGGCGTTGCCCGGCCGCTGCCACTTCGTGCGCCCCGTGAGCGTGCTGTAGTAGAAGTAGCACCGCGTCTCGTCGTCCATGAATTGGACCCACTCGTCGTCGACGTAGATGCCCGTGACGCCCGTGACCTGTCGGTCCATCGTCGGAGACACAGACGCGTCGCCCGAAGAACGCGGGCGCCGCGCGTCCCAGCGGTCGTCCGGCGCGGCGGGCTCCCACGGCGCGCGCTCGCGCCGCGCGGGCCCCTCGAGCGCGCGGCGCAGCGACGCGCGCCAGTCCGGCTCCAGGAGCGTCACGAAGACCTCGGCGGCGGCGGCCTGCGGGTCCGCGGCGCCCGCGGCCCGCGCGTCGTCGAGGAGCGACGCGAGCAGCCGCGGCGCCGCGGACGCCGCGGACGCCGCGGCCGCGGCGCCGCCGCCGCGCGCGTCCCGCTCCGCGCGCAGCGCCGCGGCCTCGGCCTCCGCGGCCGCGACGCGCCGCAGGAGCGCCGCCCGCTCGCCGTCGCCGGCGCCGCGGCCCCGCCGCTCGCTCCGCAGGTGCGCCTCGCGCGCGCGCTCCGCCGTCGCCTCCCGCCGCGCCCGCGTCGCCGCGTCGTCGGCGCCGTTGGCGTGCTTTTTCGACGCCGTCCGCGGCGTCTTCGGCTGGTTGACGGCCAGCGACTTGGGCATCGGCGATGTGGGCAGCGATCTAGGGATGGTGAGTGCGCATCGTCCGAGCGCCGTTTATTAATTAGCGGCTCGGTTGTTGAACCAGCACTGATCTGCCCCGACACGAGGTCCAGCCCTTTCTGTCCGATGGTCGAGACGCGGCGCATGAAGGCCGCGGCGGCGCAGTCTGAAAGCGCGGCGCCGGCGCCGGCGGCCGCGGAGAAAGAGCCCGAGAAGCCCAAGGAGGAGGAGATCGAACCCGCGGACCTCGGCGAGCTCTTCCTCTGGCTCGTCAAGTGGCTCGTCATCCTCGTCACGACCTGGTGGTACCTGCGGAAGTGGCTCTGGCTGCCCTACCTCAAGGCGCCGGTCCAAAAGTACAACCACGAGCTCATCTGCACGTGCCTCATCCCTTTCCTGTTCGCGAAGACGCTCCACGGCCAGGGCTTCCTCCTCTTCTCCGCGTTCTTCGTCGCGCTCAACGACGGCTCGCTAGAGAAGTAACGCTGTGGTGTCGATGCATCGCGGCGCGCGTCGTCGAAAGACCGGCGCGCGGCCGCGCGGGTCCGCGCGCCGCGGTGTCGCGGGGCGGGCGCTCGCCGCGCGCGCTCTCTTCGACGGCGCGACCGCCGGCTCGAAGTTCCGGAGAGGCCGGAGAGCTGCGTGGCCTTCGGGGTGCTCACGCGTGTCCCCACGTCGCGTACGCGTCGAGCGAGCGACTGACGCCGCTCGCCGGACTACAACGTCGCTTCAACGTTTTGGCCTCAGATTTGCGTTTTCGACCTCACAGAGCCGAGTTTCTCATGCGAGACGCCATCGCCTCGGTCGTACGAGGCCGCGGCGGCACCGCCACCGGCGCCATGAGCTCGGAGGGCTACACGCGCAGCGAGGAGGATAAGACGCGGGGTTCCGTCAGCGAGCGCATCGCGCGCCTGCGCCAGTCCCTGAGCGGCGACAAGCTCTCTGGCATGGCCGGCCCGAGCCTCGGCGGCCTCGCGACCACGGCGAAGCGCGCGGCCGAGGAGGCGAAGGACGCCTTCGGCGCGCCCGACGGCTACGCGGACCTCGGCGGCGACCGCGAGCTGCGCGCCGAGGAGAAGGTCGAGCGGAAGCTGGAGAAGCGGAACGACCGCAAGGCGCGCGAGCGCGCGCGCGCGTCCAAGGAGGAGACGAAGGAGAAAGAGCCCGCGGCGGCGAGCAAGCACGGGTCCTACGTGCCCATGGACGACGGCCTGCCGCCGCCCGCCGAGGAGGACCGGGCCGCGCGGCTCCGGCGGCGGAGCTCCGAGCTCCTGGGCCGCGCGCGGCGCGCCGTCGCGTCCGCGGCGGACAAGGTCCTGCCCGCCAAGGAGAAGCCGCCGGCGGACGAGACGGCCTGCAGCGGCGGCGGCCGCGTGCTCGCGTCGGCCTACGTGGACCGCGCGCAGCTCGACCAGTTCGACCGGAGCACGTTCGCGAGCTCGGCGGGCGCCGTCGCGTCGCAGATCGCGGCGGCGACGACGCTCAGCGGCGCGTCGGCCCACGCCGGCGGCCTCTGGGCCCTCAAGGCGCGCTACATCGCCACCCAAAAGGTCATCCCGAAGAAGCTCGCGGCCGCCAAGGAGGCGGAGGTCCGCGCCGCGCAGCTCGCGGACACGCTCAACGAGGCCACGGACCGGTGCAACGCGCTCCAGGCGCGGGAGGCGCTGCTGGCGGCGCTCCTCGACCAGGCGACGCGCCTCGACGGCGTTTCCGGCGACGCGAGCCCGAAGCCGCCCGCGTCGCCGAAGGCGTCGCCGCCGAAGGCGTGAGCGCTCTCGAGAGGCCCCCCATTTTTAGGAACAGCGTTAGCCGGGCGCGTAGTGGAGGTGCAGGAACGCGCCCTCGTGGTCCTCCGCGAGGGTTTCGACGTCGCTCGCGAGGAGCCGGCGGTACACCGCGGCCGCGAGGCCGCGCGGCGCGCACCGCTTGTGGACCGCGCGCGCGACGGCCACGGCCGCCTCCTGGGCCGTGACGACCTGGGCGCGCCGCGCGCTGCCCCGCAGCGCGATCTCCAGGTCCACGGACCGGCCCTCGCCGAAGATGGAGAAGACGCGCTTCCCGTGGTCCGCGGCGTCGGCGCATCTCAGGTCGCCGTGCTGCCGCGCGAGCGACAGGTGGAGCTGCGCCGTGCAGGGCCCCAGGCCGACGGCGTCGACGTCGCCGCACCGGAAGCCGTTGTGGTCCGCGTCGACCAAAGCCTGGCCCTCCCTAACGCACAAACACAACCGCCCGCCGTCGTCGCCCTCGAGGAGCAGGAGCACGCGGTGCACGAGCGACACGCGCCGCGCGGTGCCCGGCAGGCGCGCGTGGAGCATGACCGCGATGCCCTCGCGCAGCAGCGCGAGCGTCCGCGCGTCCTCCGCGGACGGCGCGTCGAAGAATTCGGCCAGGAGCCGCGCGTCCGGCCCCCGGCGCCGCGCGCCAAAGGACACGACGCGCGCGAGGCTCCGCGACCACGCGAAGACGCGCGGCGTCGCGCTCTCCTTGGCCTCCTCGACGCCCGTCTCGAGGGCGACGGCCGGCGTCTCGACCGGCGCCGCGGGCGCCTCGACGGGCGCCGCGGGCGTCTCGACCGGCGGCGGCCGCGCGCGCCGCGCCGCGGGCGTCGGCAGGTCCGCGGGTCGGTCGCCCGCGTCGCTGTTCGACCGCACGTACTCCGCGGACACGGGCGACTCGCGGCCGACGACGGGCGACTCGCGGCCGACGACGGGCGACTCGCGGCCGACGATGGTGACGACGTCGTGCTCGACCGTCGCCGGCGGCTCGTCGCGCGTCGACGACGCCGGCGACACGTGGAGGTCGACGTCTTTCACTGCCGGCGGCGGCGGCGGCGTCGGCGCGCGCCCGGCCTCGGAGAAGCCCCGCCGGTCGCGCTCCTCGAAGCTCGTCTCGCTCGGCCAGCACTCGACGGTGTCCGTCGAGTCGCTTTCGCCGAACGCGTCGCCCGCGTCGCCGTCGCCGTCGCCCTGCGAGTGGAGCGTCCGCAAAGTTGGCGGCGCCCGCGGCGGCGGCTGCTCGTAGCTCTCGTCCGGCGCCGTCGACCGGCTCGACGCGCGCCGGAGCATTTCGGGCAGCCCGAGCATCACCGAGCCAGGGCCGTCCCTCGGCTTGTCGGTCGCGTCGTCGGGCTGGTAGCAGGCGCTCAGGCCGCACTCGACCTTGGCCGGTGGTGGTGACGCCAGCGAGGCCCAGAGCTCGTCTTTGTGATGGTCGACGTCTCGGGCGGCCGCGGCCATCGGCAGCCCAGCCGGCAATCTTTGACAAACTTTGGCCGGTCCCGCGACGGTGAAGCGATGGTGAAGGCGGTTCCCGCGGAGCAATCCCGGGCGCCGGCGCTCCTTGTAGCCCGCACGGCCGCGCTGGCCCGCGACTGAGTAGAATCAGCCGTCGCGAACGCCGCAGGGCTCGACATCAAACCACTCGCGCGCGCAGACGCCTCGCCGCGCAATGTGGGTCTGCGGAACGTGCACGCTTTTGAATGAGAGCGACTCCTTTCTCCAGTGCTCCGCTTGCGCGGCGCTGCGGCCCGCGAAGCGCAAGGCGCTAGATGACGACCAGGGCGTCTCAAAGCGACAGGCGATCGACCTGTGCGACTCCGACGACGACGGCGGCGACGCGGCGGTCGTGTTCGAGCTCGACGACGACGAGGGCGGCGGCGACGCTGCGCTCGCGCGGGAGCTCGCGGCGCAGGACGAGCAGGCGGCCGCGGCCGCGGAGCTGGTCACGCAGCAGGACGAGGCGTTCGCGCGGTCGCTGCACGCGGCGCAGGTGACGCCCGACGGCGACGATGGGTCGCTGGCGCTCGCGCGGGAGCTCGCGGCGGAGGACGCGCCGAGCGTCGAGGCGGACCTCGCGATGGCGCGCGCGATGGACCTCGGCGACAAGCTCTCCGTCGCGCGCAACTTCGAGCGGGACCGCTTACTCGCTCTGGAGGCGCAGGAACAGGAGCGCCACGCGTTGAAGGTCGCGCTGGGCGTCGACCCGAAGGCGGCGCCGCCGCCGCGGGATCCGCCGCCGCGGCGCGTCTTCGTCGGCGACGGCTTCATCATGAACGAGCTCGACGAGAAGATCCGCACGCAGGAGGGCGCGCGCGACGCGCCCTACAAGGCGCAGACCGTGACGTCGGAGGAGCTCCTCTGGCACACGCCGTCGATCCAGCGGGCGCTCTTCACGTCCTACGGCGTCAACTACGAGTTCCTGGCGCATCTGTTGCGCGGGTCGCCGTGCGTGTACACGCCGGGCAAGGTCGTCGTCGTCGACGAGTACGACCACTCCAAGTACGCGCCGGCGGTGCACCCGGCCAGCCGGGCGAACCCCTTCACGATCGTCCACCCGAAGTTCTACGAGGACGGCGCGTCGCAGCACGTGCGGTCGCGCCTCGAGAAGGGCACGATGCATCCGAAGCTGTGGATTCTGTGCTTCGCCGACTTCTGCCGCGTCATCGTCGCGTCGTCGAACCTCGGCGCCTACGACAACAAGGTCAACAACCAGTACTGGGTCCACGACTTCCCGCGCGGCCGGCGCCTCGAGGCCGCGGCCCGCGAGCACGTGCTCTACGACTCCGAGCCGCGGGGCGACGCCGAGGGCGCGGACGAGGCCCTCGCGGCGGCCGTCGGCGACGCCGCGGCGCGGCGGCTCGTCGCCTTCGCCGACGGCGGGCTCGCGGAGCACCGCGAGGCGGGCCTGTCCAAGGACGAGCGCCACGCGGTCCACCGCTGGTGCGAGCGGCGGGGCCTCGCGTCCGCGTCCCACGACGACGCGGGCGAGGCCCGGCGGATCCTGGTGCTCACGCGCCTGGCGACGACGCCCGCGGCGGCCGCGCGGTCGCCGCCCGAGACCTTCGACGGCAGCCTCCGGGCCTTCGTGCACGCGATGCTCCGCGTCGACGCGTCGATGGCGCTCCAGTGGGACGAGATCCTGCGGAGCTACGACCTGACGCCGCCGGAGGGCGTCCACTTCATCGGCTCCGTGCCGGGCTTCCGCCGGGGCGCCTTCGCCGACGCGTTCGGCCACCGCGCGATCCGCCGCGCGCTCGCCCGGGAGGGCCTGACCGTCGCGCGGGCCGAGTTCGCGAACTCGTCGCTCGGGCGCCTCGACAACAAGGTCTTCCTGCGCGGCTTCGCGACGTCCTTATTCGGCGCCGGCGACCTCGACCGCCTCAAGATCGTCTGGCCGTCGCAGGCGACGGCCTGCCGGTCGTCGCGGAAGCTCATGCTCCACGCGATGACCGAGGACAAGGGCACGGCGCAGATGAACGGGCCCGACGACCGCATCTGGAACGCCGCGGGCTTCCCGCGCGCGCGCTTCCACCACTACCACGCGCCGAGCGACCGGCAGACGCTGCACCACACGAAGATGCTCGCATGCTTCGACGGCGACGACCGGCTCGTCGCCGTCGTCGGCGGCAGCCACAACTGCAGCGGCGCCGCCTGGGGCGTCGGCGAGGACAACATGTCCGTCATCATGTCCTACGAGGCCGGCGTGCTCGTGGCGTGCGGCGCGGGCCGGCGCGCGCGGATCCTCGACGCGCTGCCCTGGCGGTGCCCGGCGCCGCCCTACGACCTCGACGGCGGCGTCGAGCCCTGGTCCGGGTCGCGCCTCCTCGCGCAGCTGCGGCCCAAGGGCGCCGCGCTCGACGCCGCGTCGGCCGCGGCGCGCGCCGCGGCCGACGGCCTCCTCGGCGCCGCGCCGCGGCCCTTCCGCGTCTTCCGCGGCCCGTTCCCGGCGGACACGGACGGCGGCCTCCGGGCCGTCGTCGCGCGGCGCACGGACGTGCCCGTCTTCCGCGAGTCGCTCGAGGCCTACGTCGACCGCGTCGGCCGCAAGAAGGAGCAGGACGAGCTCAAGAAGCTCGGCAAGCTCTGCGCCCAGGGCCTGAGCCCGAACCGGCAAGCCGCGCGGACGCTCCACGCGGGCGAGCGCGTCTTCGTCGACCACGGCACGGCCCACTTCGACTACGACCACGCGCGCTACGGCAAGATCCACGTGACGGAGTACCGCCTCTCCGACGGCTCGGGCTTCGCGCACACGGGCAGCGGGCCGGAGGCGGACCTCGACGTCGTCGCGTCCGGCGACGGCGACGCCAAGCCCGTGCTCGCCATCTTCTTCGCCGCGGGCGCCGGTCCGCCGCCGACGCTCCGGGCCGCGCTCGACGACCCTCGCGTCGCCGCGCGCCTCGCGGACAAGTTCGCGGGGCTCTGGCTCGGCGTCGGCGACGGCGGCGGCGACGTCGTGCATCACGCCGAGGTCGTCGCGCGCAAGATCTTCGACTTCGTGCGCTTCCCGGCGATCGGCGCCGTCGTCCGGGGCGAGCGGTGCGCCGAGATCCGCGCCGAGGCGGCCGCGGCGGCGCTCCAGACGCCCGAGGCGCTGCTCGCGGTGCTCGCGAGCGCCGCGGCCGACGCCGACGAAGCGCTGGTCCGCGTGAGGAAGCGCGACGAGAAGAAGCGCCGCGACGCGCTCGCGCCGCTCGAGAACGCCAAGGCCGCCGCGGCCTGGGTGCGCCGCAACTACGACGTCGTCGTCATCGAGCCCGAGGGCACGCTGAAGCGGCCGAACGTGCTCACGATCCGCCCCGAGCCCCTCAGCGCGAGCGAGCTGTCGCGCGACAAGGCCGACCACTTCAAGGACGAGGCCGTGCCGCTCCTGCGCGAGCTCGTCGCCGAGCCGCGCGTCGCGGTGGCCCTCGCGACGGTCTGGGGCCAGTCCGTCGCGGACCCGTCGCTCGCGCCGGGCCAGCGCAAGAAGGAGGACCGCCTCAAGCAGGCGCTCTCGGACCTCGACGCGCGCCTCGACCGCGAGCTCGACGGCCGCGCGGGCTTCGACGTCCTCGTGTCGTGGCGCTGCTCGGACCGGCACGCGCGCAACTACCCCGCGTCCTACCTCGACCGCGCGCTCGAGGCCGCGAAGCCGCCGCCGGAGAGCGACGTCGCCGCCGCCGTCGCGGGCGGACCCGAGGCGTGCGCGCGGCGCATCTTCGACGAGGACGAGGCCTTCGAGGGCGGCGCGCCGCCCAGCACCGTCGTCCGCCGCGCGGCCGAGTGGTCGCCGGAGTTCGCGGGGCCCTTCCGCCTCCAGACCGCCGTCGCCCTCGCCGGGCTCCGGCGCGACATCAAGGAGCCGCGCGCGCTCGTCGTCGGCGCGGAGCACGACACGGCGGCGACGGCGCGCGCCGCGAAGCTCGACTACATCGGCGTCGGCAAGCTCTGCTCCGGCACGGGCCTCGACTGGAAGAAGGTCCGCTGGGATAGCGATGCCGCCGGCGACGACGCCATCATCAACTTCCCGAACGGCTAGCTTCCAGAAATTAGCCATAAGTCTGTAGCTGTTCACGACACGAGGACACTGTCTTTACTTGCTCCTAGAGGAGGTCGCGGCTCGTGGACCAGTACGTCAGGACGTGCCAGAAGACTTCGTTGGGAAGCGGGGTGCTCGTGCGTTTCGCCGCGCGCGTAGACCTTGCCGATGACCCGGGCGTGCCGAAGAGGCGCTGCAGAAAAGAATCTGACGACGGCGCGCGGCCGCGGCCGCAGAGCGAACGCAATCGCACCAGTTCGATTCTCGGAGCTCGTAGGTAAGCTTTCCAGCTGCCAGCAGCCACGACATCGGTGAGGAAATCGAGGGACTTACCGCTAGCGGACATCATGGCATCACGACCATCATTGTCCACGAGAGAGAGGTCGGCCCCGCGGCGGACGAGGAGCCGCACGATATCGTGGCGGTAATCGCCTGCTCGGGCATACATGACTAGCGGCGTGCTTCCGTCAACACTTCTCACGTTTATGTCCGCGCCCGCATCCAGGAGTGCAGCGGCGTCTTCGAGCCGGTGACAAACATGCAGTGGCGTGATTTCGAAAAACCCCCCGGTTCGATCCACGTCCGCACCCAGGGCGACTAGACGCAGAACGATATCGCTATTCCCTCTTCTTCCGCCAAACATAGCAATAACATGGAGGAGACTAAAATAATCATCGGTGCCGGCGCTATAATTCCTGACGACGTCGGCCGGATCTTCCTCGTCGTGACTTCCGTTCAACCATTCTCGCATTGGCCCGTTGTCATTATTACCGATCAACGCAGAAATGGCATCTCGTAATATCATCGTCGACCGACTCGCAAGCTCTTAGCCCTTTTTGATGTGGCGGCGACGAACGCGCAGATCCGCCACAGCTTCCTCCACAAGCTCGGCACCGCGTTGCGAAGGAGGACGTGCCAGGAAATCGACGATGGGGCCGAGGGAAATGAGTATGCAGAAAAGCACGGCGAGGAAGAAGAGCTCAAGCTCAGTGTCTTCCATGCCCTCCTCGGGACTCGAGTCGCAAATCGCGCCCGCCGCGGCAAAAAAATGCGGTTCCTCCCGGGCCCCCTATGTTTAGAGACGCGTCAGGCAAAAAATGCCCTCGGGGTCGGCGCGACTCAAAATCGCCAAACCTCCACACGCCCCAAACAACCTTAACAACCCCCTCTAGTTGCCGTTCGCGGCGGCGGCCCGGGGGAGCTTGAGGGGCTCGAGGAGGTCGCTGTCGTCGAAGGTCGCGCGGCGGACGAGCTCCGCCGGGAGGCGGTCCTGGTCCACCGTCGCGGGGAGGTCCGCGGCGTCGAGGGTCGTCGACGACGCGGCGCGGCCCGGGAAGACGAGGGCGCTGAGGGCGTAGGACTGGGGCGCCGCGGGCGCGTGGGGCTCGCTGCCGTCGCGGGGCCCGTCGACGACGGCCACCGTAAGAAGCGCGAACTTGGACGCGGGCGCGAGGTGGAGCCGCGGGTCCGGCGGCGGCGTCACGTGGCGGATGGGCACGCGGCGCAACGCGCGGTGCACGGGCCGCTCGGCCTGGGCGTGGAACGACGAGAAGTTGGCCGCGGTGGACCCGCCCGCGTCCGTCGAAGTGTCGTCGACGAACAGGCTCAGCGACGTCGCGTCGACGACGCCGTTCGTCGCCGCCGCGAGGAGCGCGGCGACCTTGCGCGCCGCGGCGTCGTCGGCGGGGTCGCCGCCGCCCCGCGGGGCCCGCGCGGCCAGCGCGGCGCCGGGCGCGCCGCCCCAGTGCGTCGCGAAGGGCCGGAGCAGAGCCGCGCAGTCGCCCGGCGTCATGGACTCGACGCCCCGGCCCGCCAACGCGACCCAGGCGGCGGAGAAGTCGAGGTCCGCGGCGTCCGCGGCGTCCGCGTCGACGTCCGCGGCGCCGTAGACCGCGCCCGCCTCGACGACCGCGCGGCGCAGCGCGCGCGCGAGGAGCACCTCCGGCGGCGCCTCGGGCGCGGCCATGGCATTTTGAAGCTCCGCGCCCTCGCTCCGCGCGCGCGTCACCACGGACCCGTAGGCGTCGAAGGCCGACGGCTCCTCGGCCGCGCGGAGCGGCGCCGCCGGCTCGTGGTCCTCGTCCTCGAGCGCCTCGCCGGCCGCCGCCGCGCGCGCGACGCGCGCCGCCAAAGCGCCGCCGCAGCGCGACGTCTCGAGCACGGCGAGGAGCAGCGCGTAGGCGAAGCGCGCGCGCGCGCGGTCGCGGTCCGCGCGCGGCCCCGCCGCGAGCGCGGGCGCGGGGACGCGCGCG